TCTTTCCCTCTCCCGATTTGGCTTTAGATCTCTCTCTCTCTCTCTCCCCCCCGCTTGAGATTTGATTTCCAGTAGTCTCTTCGACGAAAACTTTTTCCCTTCTGGTTAATTTTCTGGGAAATCGAGTGAAGATTCGGTGGTTGCGACCGTATATCGCACCATGGGAGTTGAGCTACTGAGGTTGAAGATGGCGCATAGCTCTTTCCCAATGCGCGCGCTTTTACGCGCCCTCATGATCATCTGCGCTTTCTCGGTTGTTTCCATGGTGCAGATTTTCGGCGGAGTTAACGAAGGTGTGAATCGACCCATTAGGGTCGACGAGTGTGCTGTGAATTTCGCCTTTATGGGTCCTTTCCTGCTTTCCAGCGCCGGATTGCTATCCAAAAAATTCCTGAAACCCATTTGGAGCACAATCGAATCCGCGCAGTGCAAGGAAAACATAAACTTGACTGCTAATGTTGTCAGAGAGCTCACAACTATGAAAATGTTGAGTTATGATGCGAAAGCTCTCTGCATTGGCCAAAGATCTGTTTCAGCCGTTCTGGCGATGAAACGAGAGGGGATCTCTGATGTTCATGCAGTTTACAGGCCTCCGTTTTTTCCGCTTAGGAACAGGAAGCTCGTAACTGAGCTAGATTACGAGGACACATCTTTCGATTTTGTGTTCTCTAGGGATCTGGAGACTGTCCCTGTCCCTGCTTCACTCGTTCTTGAGATCGAGCGAATTCTTAAGCCTGGTGGGATAGGAGCTATGCTCGTGAGTACTAGCGGATCTGACTCGAATAGCTTGGTCAGATCCGTTTCACCAGTTTCTTCATTACTGAAGAATTCGAGTGTCGTACACGTTGCCTCGGTGGGTGAACCCGTTTTAGTTGCATTCAAGAGAAATGCAGAAGATGGTTTTCGGTTCGATCAGAGTCCTCAATTCCCGGCCGATTGCCCATCTGTTGTCAACAACAAACCTTACATTGATTTCTTGGAGCCTCTCCTCGAGGAAGAACGGGCAGACTTTGAAAGAAGGATCCATTACTTGCCCGAGTTCATCGACGTTGTCTCATCTAGGAAGAGGTTGGTCTATATCGATATTGGGGCAGCCGGGCATCTGAAAATGAAAACAAGAAGCTGGTTCTTCCCCTCTTACCCGATCGACAAGAGAGCATTCAATGCTTATTTTGTTCACCACAACACATCTGTCCTGACATCTTATGTCAAAAGCCCAGGTGTCACCTTCATTTACCATCCGGGTCTCGCTGCAACCAAGGCAATAACCGATCCTGAAGATCTCGAACCCTTTGTGGAGGATGAAAGCTTTGATTTTCTAGCATGGTTCAAGGAGACAGTGAGTTTTGCTGACTTTGTGGTTCTAAAGATGAACAGCAGTGATGTGGAACTGAAGTTTCTGGCAGATCTCATCGAGACTGGAACTATCTGCTCAGTCGATGAGCTGTTTCTCCGCTGCACCACCGGCTACAATGACTGCACCGGTATCCTTAAGAGCCTCAGGAGCAGTGGCATCTTTGTCCATCAATGGTGGGAAGAATGATATCTGCTATATATCATGAATTATTATCGGTTATGGTTTGTCTTGCCCTAATGCATCTGTTGTCTGCTCTGTTGTTGCTGTATTTGCTTCGGCGGTTGGGCGCTTTACCGAAATAAACAGCCGCCATGTGAACTTTTTGTCTGGTTTCAATGAAGTTTGCTAAGTTTGTGTTTTTTTGTTTTCTGATGGTTCAAGATAATTCCTGTGTTCTACATTTTTTTTTAAAAAAACTATACATTGCAAATGCAAAACAACACTTGGCAAAAAAAAAAAACAGAAACTTATCAAACACAAAGGTGCAATGACATATATATATATATATATATATATACACACAAGCATACCCTTTGTTGTGTAATTGCTAGACAAGCAGGGAGGGGTTCTTCTTCACATTGAAAACACACAATAAAACAAAGGGAAGGAACTTTGCAGAAGGGTTTCACTTTCACTTCACTCATTGCCCTCCATCCTTGTTAACCTTTATCTCCAAAAGCCTCTCGACCGGTTGTCTACAAATGGGGCATCGATTTGTCTGAAACCTCAAAAGCTTTGCACAACCACTGCACATACACTGCAACATATACCCGAGAAACCAAACCAGAATGATTAACATTCAAGCAAGAATATGGCATATTTTTTCTCAAAGTTCTATCAGAACAGCACAGCTCAAGAACCAAATCAAAGTATAGAATCAAACACTGGTCTCAAGATTATACAGCTTTTAGATGCTGCTCTGCTCAAATCAGATTCTCTATCGAGACATGACTGTAATATTCTTACATGATAATGAGAAGACAGTGTAGAGTAATAAGCTTTACCATGTGCCTACAAGGAAGGACAGTCGTGTCTCGTGGCTCTGATAAGCAAATAACACACTCTTTTCCGGTGTCGTTCCCATCTTCTACATTATCATCAACTGTGTTACCGATCCCGTAAATCTCCTGCAGCACGTACCTCTTCCCATTCAACCATAGGATCTGCTTTACGACTCTTGTCTTGTATTCACCTTTCTCTTTTTCAAAAACCGCATGTGTAATCTGACAGTTAGATGTTGGAGACAGAGGGTTATCCTCTGAGTCATTATATTCAACAGATGATGATGATGATGATGAAGCCTCTGCCTTCACAGCCAAAGGATACATATCTGCCTCAGCAGCTTCCTCGAGCAACTCAGCCGAGAAGTCAATCCCTGTTCCAGAAGGCTGCTTGAACTTTTGCCCGAGACCTTTCTGAAAACTTACTGTCACAGGTGGAAACAGATCTTCCTTTGTTGCTGTCAAGCGACAGTCTTCACCTTCTTTGGCAAAGAACATTATGGTGATACTGCTTAAAGAAGAAGAAGAAGATAATCAAAGCACATGACCAATCCTGAACAGCATAGAAATCTAACCATTGGTCATGCATTTGAAAATAATGCCCCACCCTTTTGATTTACTACAACGGATTTCATGATTTCATCTCTTTCCTGGAACTAAGAATCGCCATTGAAGTTAACCTAAGACTAAGACCTTTCTTTTCCATGGAAGTTTGCAGTTTACAGTCATCTAAAAAAACAGCGATCTTATTCCATATCATAGTCCTCCACAAGAGTCAACAAAATGTATTACCATCAGTCAAATTTATGCAAGAAATCTTAGAAAAGGGTATAATCATATCAAATTTGTGAAAGAAATCGATCCCATTTTCAAGTACCTGCCGTCAACAGTAGCATCAAACGTGAAGGAGACCAAAAACCTTCCTGGGTTTTCTTCATCGTGTTCCAATCTCAGCGTATCCTTCTTAATATTGACGTCGTTCCGTATCGTCACGGCCTTCTGGTGCTCGACGTACGGCAATGGCGTCGCCGGCGGCATCATCGGACCATGAGAAACCCAACCGCCGTGATGGTATTGATGAGGATTCTGATGATACGGCGTCGGAATCGACGGAGGTGGCGGCGGATAATACCCTGAGTACTGATAATACTGCGGCGGAGCAAGCGGTGGCAGAGGCGGCGGAGCACTAGGGTTAGGGTACCGGGTCGGGTAAGGCGTCGCGGCGGCGAATACGTACTGGCTGCCAAAGATCTCCGGCTGAGGGTGAATCACCGGCGGCGATGGAGGATGGTCTCGCCGGCTTCCATGATGCCGGGGTGGGGCCCAAAACGTGGTTGTACGATGAATGCTGTCTGCTAATTGTCACAATAATTGCTTTGCATTTATATTTATCTGTGATAAAAAAAACTGTTAATTAAATCTTATAATTCTGGCTACGATTAAACATGATATCACAATTAAATTAAAATTATTACATTACAAGAAGTTATAAAGTAAGTAATTTAGTAAGTTAATCGTTCTTATTATCAGTTTTAACAAATTAAATATTAAATTGAAAACAACAAAATGTCGTTCGTTTGCCTTAATTAAAATCTACTCTAATATATACATACATTGGTACATATATATATATATAATAAATTATATTATATTTATAAATGATTTGTGACAGCTCACCAACGAGTACGAGTGGAGGGTGGCGAGGCATTTGGCGGGAAGAGAGAACAAAGATTCGATCTTAATTCTGTTTAATCCAATGGAAGAACAGAGGAGGATGAGTCGGGAGATGGAGGATGAAAGTGGGAAATTAGAAGGTTAGAGCGTTGAATGAAGTTCCACACACAAACAAATGCGATCGCAATTTATTAATTAATTTTCCATTAGTCAATTTAAATAATATTTTAGAATAAACATTTCACGTTCTAGAAGAATGCGTCTTATAAATTACTATAATCGAATAAAAATATAAGTGAAAAAAGGAAATAAAAGTGAAAAAAGGAAATAAAAGTGAATTGAATTAGCCATAACTGTAACGACCTTCTTGATAATAATAATAATAATAATAATAATAATAATAAGAATTAGGTTTCATTAAACGAGAATCTCCTTTTAACCAAACACAAACACACAAATACACACAAAAATGTCATGAACATATATATACACACACATATATATATATATATATATATATATATATATATATTCAAAGACAAGGACCGTTTTGCATACATTTTCCGCCGCCGGATAAATCTCGGGTCGTCACGGCGATATTATGCGGCAACATTTCCGGAATAATTTGTCATTTTATAAAGATGACTTAAAATTATTTCCTATATTCAATTTCAAAAACAAATTTGTAGATTAATGAAAATTTTGAATCTATATGCATATATTAGCATATATGATAATATATCACAAAGTTAGGTTTACTCCAAAGTGAGTCTTCAAATCAAACCTCTTGAGGTGGAAGATAAATGATATTATCAGAAACTGATCCCTAAAATATTTAAAAAAAAAAATATTTAATAACATTTAATCTTTTGATCATCCAAACAATACATGCATTGATGCATTATGAAAATCAAAATTGTAGATTGATATTTTGTAATTTTCAAAATCAATCTCTTAGATAGAATATTTATTTGGTTACTCGGTCTTTTCTATATTAAAAACTATTAAATAAGAAAAGTCATACATACATAAATCCTTCAAAAATTATCACATAAATATTTAATACATAAAATTATCAAAGAACTCGTAGGGTTTTTACGACAAATAGATTATTTGGTGATTGTCTTTTTCTATATTGACGTTTTAAATAAAAAGATCAGTTGTTAATATATAAATTATTCAAAAATCACCATATAAATATATTAATAGGTAAATACATACATTATCTAACAACTTACAAATGTACGTGACCGATAGATTGATTTGGATAATCAAAATAAATATTGGTTTTTTAATATATATAAAACATTAGTAAAGATTGAAATAAAGATTGAGTGACTTAACTGTTAAAGAAGGAAGTAAAATTTTTTCTCAACCCAATTTCGAATATTCATGTGGAGGTGCATTCACGTAGATATTTTCAATTTTTCTAAATCTGTAAAGGTGTATTCACATAGATTTTTTCAATTTTTTAGAAAATATAGTTGAACCAAATACTCGATAATTTTCGGATTTTAAAAAATTGGTTGATGTTGATGTGATGATCAATATAACCAATAGATAGTTTTTATATGAAAAGTGTGATAAATTATAATATACTGTATCCAGAGACATTTTAGAAAAAATGAAAGAAATTTTTTTATAACGGAAAATCCTACATGCTACCCTTCGTACGCGTTAATTAGATAAACCTCCAAATCGAGACCAGTCTTTATATATGGATCTTATTGATCCATAAATTACGTCTTTTCCCACCACCAAATGGAGTCGTACCGCCAAACTTTGAGCCCACTAAACTATGCCTTGATGGGTAAAGAAATTTGATTTTGATCTTCATATGTTTCATTTTTTATTTGTGTGGAAAAGTACAACATTGATACACTAGAAAATTCCATAAAAGCATTACACGGAATGGAAATTACGAACAAGGGCATATGTTTTTTTTTAAATCAAAGAGCCCGATGGATTTGGTGACAATAATATACACGATAATTAATAAATCACGAATTACGTTATTTTTGTGATTTATTAAATTAATTGAGAGGAGGGATCTCAGATGTTGGAAGCGCTCCTGAAAGATCCGAGGGACTTGGAGCCCGAAGCCCGAAGCACCAATTGGTGGTAGAAAGCAGCGATCGCAGCCCCGACGAAGGGTCCCACCCAGAACATCCACTGCCCATTTTTACCATCCATTCATTATTAAAAAAAAAATTCAATTTAAAATTATAATAAGTCCTTGTTTCCATATAATAAATCAAGTCGAAATTGAAAAATAATTAAAGTTATAAAGAGAGAGAGAGAGACATACGTGGTCGTCCCAAGGCTTGTCCTTGTTGTAGATGACGGCGGGCCCCAGACCCCCCGCCGGATTAATGCCGGGGCGGCCCCCAGACTCCTCGCCGGATTAATGCCGGTTCCGGTGATCGGAATCGTCGCCAAGTGTACCATAAACACCGCAAACCCTATCGGAAGCGGCGCCAACACCTTTTTTTTTTATATATAAAACAAACAAAAAATCATCATCAAAAATACGATTTTTACCGATACAAATACACATTCTATATTATATTATCCTATTCAGTTATTCGATTATTAACCGAATTGATCATCTCCAATACAAAATAAGAGAGAGATATATATGCGGTACCGTACCGGGACGTGCGAGTCACGGGCGTTGCGCTTGGGGTCGGTGGCGGAGAAGACGGTGTAGACGAGGACGAAGGTGCCGATGATCTCGGCGGCGAGGCCGGTGCCTTTGCTGTAACCGTCGGCCAGTGAGTTGGCTCCTCCGCCGTAACGGTCGTAGTATGAACTCTGGAAAGCCTTCACGAGCCCCACTCCGCATATCGCTCCCAAGCATTGGGCCACCATGTACAGTAAGGCCCTCACCAATGTCACCTTCCGGCCCAATAACAGCCCAAATGTTACCGCCGGGTTTATGTGCCCACCTTCATTTCATTTCATTTCATAACAACCGGGTCCGGTTTAATCACAACGTTACTCAACGATAACCGGCTCCGGTTGTGAAATTATTTGTTTTTTTTTTTACCTGAGATACCGGCGGTGCAGTAGACGAGGATGAATATCATGCCGCCGAAGGCCCACGCGATGCCGAGTATTCCGACGCCGCCGCAGGCATCGCCCCCCGAGCCGCCGGCGGTGGATCCGTGTAATCCCTCGCCGGAAAACCTTCTCCGGCCACTCCTCCTTCCACGTCCTTCGCCATCGTTTATCAAATTCTTTTTTCTTCTTTTTCTTTGCTGTGAAAAAAGAAATATGTATTACTTTTTTTTTTGCTTCTGAGTGGTTGTTCTTGTGTTGTGTGGTGGTGAGAAGCCGAGGAAGAACGGGTATTTATACAGAGCGCGAGATCTCATGGGTCAGTTATGTATTTTTTTTTTTTTTTGCTTTGATATCATTTTACGATTATATTATGTTTCAAGAAAAAAAAATCAACAATTCGGAATATTTTAATTATGGGGAAATACCTGCCACTTATCGAGTTGTCCTTTATTTTTTTTTATTTTTTTTGTCAAACCAGGAAGTTTACCTGGGCCTTTGGCCCAACCTACATCTCTCTGGACCCGAGAGCAGCCTTTGAACACACAACCTTTGGCTATGTCTCTCCCTCCCTCCCTGCATGTCTGGATTCGAACCCCTGACCTGGAGGAGAAACACCCTCGCATCTAGTCCAGGTACAACTCGACCACAGACATGTGGGTAAATAAAAATTTAAACTTGTTGGAGTTATCCTTTATTACTGCCCAAGGTAATGTTACATAGATGAGCGGATTTTTTTTTTTTTTGATATCGGTGGGAACCCGCCATACGGCCCTTCGGGCCGGATCCCGAACCGCCCCAGCCCCTCCCAAGACCGAACGGTCGGTATGCCGACAGTAAACCCCCCGGTCCTGCGCAATAGTCGGCAAAGATGAGCGGATTTATCCATTAGTTAATCATGATTATGATTATTAGGGAACATTATGTGTATTTTGTCCGGTTTTAATTGGTCTATATTCATCCGGTTACGATTGGTTATATGCATGTGACGTGTGTTGTATTTGCATTACACAATTTTTTTTTTCATTTTTGGATTTTATAAAAAAGTTCCATCGATTAATACTTCTTTTCTAATTTTAATATAGTTCAAATTCATCTCTACCAAAAAATATGCATTACTAATGTGAAATTGTATGTGGGTCCAAACATACAGTAAATATATAAACATGGACAACTACAGTATAGTAAAAAAAAAACTTGATCTTATAGTTACATTCTGAAATTAATATGATCTAATTTTTCTTATAACATTTACAAAAAAATAAAAATTAATTATACACGTGCGCTTTAAGAACATATTCTTATATTCAATGAACTAGTCAAGCTATTCATTGCTCAACAACAGTTACTTACTTATATAATATGGGTACCATACATTTATTTCATTATGACTACGAGAATGTGCACATGCCGCAAATGTTGACGACGATGACTTGGATATTCACATCATAAAACGTGGCGAAAAATATGAAAAATCATCATAATTTTGGTTAAAACTTAAAAAATTAAATGAATAATTTCGAATATAAATCTTTTTTATTCGGTTTATTTTTAAAATAACGAACCATTTGACCAACCTAGTATCAGGAATTAGCATCCATTATGAAGTCGATTTTCAAAATTACTATTTCAAGCAATGGTGAATCCAAAAACACAAATTATCGTGGGGGAGACATATAATATCGTTGAGGCATTATAAATATTTTTTGTTTAATTATTAGAGGTACCGATGCATAAATATGAATAAAATATATATATTCGTTTCTTCCTACCAAGCTCAAAATTTATTATACTACAGGGAGTAACAATTAAACAATATTTTAAAAAGATGAGAGCGACTGACCTGGAACTACTATTCCAATAATAGCCGACCGATGTTGCTAAAATAGGATAAGCTTGTGACACGTGGCAAAACACCAGCCAGGAACTCTGTGTGTGTATATATATATAAATGTATATCTTCTTGTCTGTCTGATTTTTTTTTTTATTTCTTTATTTTTGTCATCATATTGTTTTTTTTTTTAATTACTTCATAATGCATAGCAGAAAAAGTGGAAACGAAATTGGCTAATGCATGAAGATGAACGAAAATGATTGGAGGGCAGTGGGTGGGGTCCATGAAGACGTGGCAATATGTGAGTGGTTAAGGCTGTGATGAGTTGGACTTTATCTGCATGGACGGTGGTGATACGTTGGTCGGGGGAGCGATGGACGGTCACGCGCGGCCCCTCCACGTCACCCCAACAACAACCCACTGATTTGACTGGAAACAGCTTTGAAACGACGTCGTTTTCTTCCATCCTAATTATTTCTATTCGACCGACCTGATTTTAGTAATCGAGTTACTGCTTTGCTCGGATATTGTAATTAACGAGTAACGTTTTTATAAAAAAAAATTAATTAAAAAGTTTAACGCTTCGATATTTCTTCGATACGGATTCTATAGAATGAATTTTTCTTAAGATTATAAACATAAAAATTAAAATGTGATATTTTATTATATTTTTGTTTTTTGATTTTGGGTATGAGCAAACTAGTAAATAATTCATAAAACCATGTTATAACTACGCTATTTCATTGAAAACATTATATGTTTATGCTACAACTAGAATTCATGTGTGTGTGTGTTTTTTTTAATTCATGATTTCTTTGTCAACCAATATTCGAGGGACCATACCCACAAAAAAAAAATTTGCTGGAGAATAATGACATGAGACAAGAGCATAGAAACAAACCATAGTGTATACAGAGTCGGTCCAAGAGAAAACGACATAAAACTTACATTATGGAAATGGGGCGGCGAGGCTAAGCTTAACTAACCATCCATTATCTCCCAAAATGACATATTTTTTTTTTTAAAAATAAACTATACAAAACTAAGGTTGGGGAATTCTTATGGTTCTTCCATTGCTTTACTTTAAAAAATGTTATCTAAACGTCATCATACAAAAAGAGAATTAGAATATATATATATATATATTGTGTGAGTATTCGCAAATTCGTATAGTTTTTTTGTTGTGAACGAATATCCTACGTCAAGATTCAAATTAATTTCGAAATCTGAAGCTAGTTATGTGATTTGGAATATACACTCCTTTTCCATATTTGATGTTATTTGATGTTCCAACTCGGACGAGAAATATTTTTTACGTCCATTTTCACCGGTTAAACTATCTAAGATGGATTCAACAAAAAAATATTATAGGATTTAAATTAAAAATCATAGACTCAATTTGAGTTGCTATATGTTGTACTATTGATGATGAGGATGATATAATCATATGCATTAATGTAAAAAAGCACAATTATTGGACTATCAATGTAGGAGTATTGGACTTTGTCTTTTAGGACAGCTAGATATGCCAAAACTCTTGTATTTCCCCGTTGAAACCATGATCATTATAAAATATATACAAATACGCTGTATTAATGATTTGTTATCAATTTTGTCATCCCATGAAAAAAGAACCTTAAAATAACATTTTAAAAAAAATAGAAAAACCATTTATAATTATATACGTATACCTACACAATACACATATGCGTATGAGCATAAACCGAAAGCACTGAATCCATGAGAGCTCGCTCTATATAAATACCCACTCTTCCCCAGCTTCTCACCATCAAACAACCATTCATAAGAAAAAAAAAAACACATATTTCTTTTTTTTTTCACAGCAAAAAAAAGAATTTGATTAACGATGGCGAAGGACGTGGAAGGAGGAGTGGCCGGAGAAGGTTTTCCGGCGAGGGATTACACGGATCCACCGCCGGCGGCGCTGGTGGACGCGGAGGAGCTGACGAGGTGGTCGTTCTACAGAGCGGTGATAGCAGAGTTCATAGCCACTCTCCTCTTCCTGTACATAACCGTCTTAACCGTGATCGGTTACAAATCCCAAACCGATACCAAAGCCGGCGGCGATGACTGCGGCGGCGTCGGAATACTCGGCATCGCGTGGGCCTTCGGCGGCATGATATTCATCCTCGTCTACTGCACCGCCGGTATCTCAGGTAAAAAAAAATTAATAATTTCACAACCGGAGCCGGTTATCGTTGAGTAACGTTGTGATTAAACCGGACCCGGTTGTTATGAAATGAAATGAAATGAAGGTGGGCACATAAACCCGGCGGTAACATTTGGGCTGTTATTGGGCCGGAAGGTGACATTAGTGAGGGCCTTACTGTACATGGTGGCCCAATGCTTGGGAGCGATATGCGGAGTGGGGCTCGTGAAGGCTTTCCAGAGTTCATACTACGACCGTTACGGCGGAGGAGCCAACTCACTGGCCGACGGTTACAGCAAAGGCACCGGCCTCGCCGCAGAGATCATCGGCACCTTCGTCCTCGTCTACACCGTCTTCTCCGCCACCGACCCCAAGCGCAACGCCCGTGACTCCCACGTCCCGGTACGTTACCGCATATATATATCTCTCTTATTTTGTATTGGAGATGATCAATTCGGTTAATAATCGAATAACTGAATAGGATAATATAATATAGAATGTGTATTTGTATCGGTAAATATCGTATTTTTGATGATGATTTTTTGTTTGTTTTATATATAAAAAAAAAGGTGTTGGCGCCGCTTCCGATAGGGTTTGCGGTGTTTATGGTACACTTGGCGACGATTCCGATCACCGGAACCGGCATTAATCCGGCGAGGAGTCTCGGGGCCGCCGTCATCTACAACAAGGACAAGCCTTGGGACGACCACGTATGTCTCTCTCTCTCTCTTTATACCTTTAATTATTTTTCTGTTTTTGATTTATGTTCTTAATTTTAATTTTTTTTTTAATAATGAATGGATGATAAAAATGGGCAGTGGATATTCTGGGTGGGGCCCTTCATCGGGGCTGCGATCGCTGCTTTCTACCACCAATTCGTCCTGAGGGCTTCGGGTTCCAAATCCCTCGGATCTTTCAGGAGCGCTTCCAACATCTGAGATCTCTCCTCTCAATTAATTTAATAAATCACAAAAATAACGTAATTTGTGATTTATTAATTATCGTGTATATTATTGTCACCAAATCCATCGGGCTCTTTGATTTAAAAAAAAAAACATATGCCCTTATATTTCTTTCTGCGTGTAATGCTTTTATGGAATTTTCTAGTGTGTCAATGTTGTACTTTTCCACACAAATAAAAAATGAAACCTACGAAGATCAAAATCAAATTTCTTTCCTCTTTTCTAAAATGTCTCGAGGACCATATATTACAGTTTATCATACTTTTCATGTAAAAACTATCTATTCGTTATATTGATCATCACATCATTAACATCAACCAATTTTTTTACCGTCTGGAAATTCACCAAGTATTTGGTTAAATTATATTTTCTAAAAAATTGAAAAAGTTTTAGTGGATGCACCTCCACAAATGAAGATTCGAATTTGGGTTGAGAAAGAGTTTTATATTTTTTCTTATCAATTAAGTTACTCAATCTTTATTCAATATTTTATATATTTATATATTAAAAAATCAGTATTTATTTTGATTATCCAAATCAATCCATCGGTCATGTACATTTGTGAGTTGTTTGATAATGCATGTATTTACATATTAATGTATTTATATGGTGATTTTTGAATAGTTTATAAATTAACAATTGATTTTTTTTACTTAATAGGTCAATATAGAAAACCAATATTTATTTTGATTATACAAGTCAATCCAACGGTCATAAATACATTTGTTGGGTCTATATACAACACAAACCGCTTTTATGTCTGAGTTTTAGGTTCATCATCAACGCATCAAACATGAGTTGCATTTTTATTTACTTGTTTGATTAGAAAACTTGTAAAAACATAACTAATGAATGAAGTTATTACCCTTTAAATCACATCGAATGTTTACACTTAATGATAGTAGAACGACTCCACACCATGAACACTTCATTACATCTACCACAATTCTTCTCTTATAGCTTCCAACAAAGATTACAGTTCCTGAAAACTATGGAGAAGTTTCAGTTCCAAGACTGTTTCTAAGGTCAAAAGACAAAAGAAACAACAAAAAGCTAAGGTGAAAAATGTGAGCAAATGTACCTCTTAGTTTGGTATGTAGTCATTAGCTCCAATTGCTCTATCTCGCCGACGTACTTACTAATCACGTTTCCATCCAGAAGGCTTCATACCCGAAAACGGACCATTACCCCCCCTTCACGTTTTTTCCGCTTTCTCCTTTCTCCGTCACAAGATTTCGACAACATCCCATCATAAATATGTCTTCAAGAAGGATGGATCTTTGGTAAAACCAGAAGCTTAAACTATCCTTATGAATACTCTCATTCGGCTACTTAGGCTATAAAATTTTAATCCTTGAAGGCTGGCAAAGTAACTATTCCTATTAGGAATTATCTTAGTCCAAGCACCAGTATGATTTTGTTCCTTGGAACTCGAAGTTTCTCCTCCCGTAGAAATCACTCGTTTAGCCTCCAATCTCTCCGAATTTGATACTGATAACACTCTAGTACCATGATGCAGGCACACTCCCAAGGCATTCTTGTTCTATGGACTTATTTTCTTCACCCTTATTTTCTATACTATAGTTCCTGTGTCAATGGGTGGCTTAAGTCCAGAAGTTCAGAATGAAGGAAGTGAGACAAGGCGAACCGGATGATGAAGGCCATTGATATGGCAGCCTCAAACCTCGTGCAGTGGTTCACGATATGCCAGCAGTTTCAGAAGCAGATAGTGGATGGTGGACGTGATCTGCAAAATTCGGTTTTAGATGGGCTGATAATGCAAAAATCCATAAGGAAATAGACTCATCGATTTTAAGCAATCCCCAACACTGACAAATCTTGCAGATAAATCCAAATTATTACATTCAATTATTCATGCCGGAAAACAGCAGTGAAAGCAAAATCTAGCAATGTGGTTCCAAAAGGACATAAGCGGCAATAAGCAGAAGAGACAAAACTCCACAGGCTTTGCAAGCCAAAGGCCAGAATCAAGCAACTGTTCAAGAAAAGGACACACATTGCGTGTCTGATCAGATTCATACCATCAAATCAAATCACATTTACGCAAGAACACACCGTTTCCCGAGCAAATTCAAGTTTCTGAAGCAAGAAAGAAACCTCATTTTCATTTTTCAATCAACTCTTAGAGATAAGAGAACGAATCAAGATTCTTGAGCTCAACCCACCATCTGATTCAGATCAAAGCTAGTCCTCACTTCCATGGAACCCAACACATGCAACGCAAACTATGGACCACATATTCCAGATCTATTCAGAATGATTCAATGACAAGAGATTCAAAAAACCCCTAATTTTGCAGCGTCTTAAACACCCGTTCGAGACCCTAATTACTAAAACCCAGTTCCAAATTTCAGTATCTTTCAAATCCCATAGGCCACAGAGAGGCATAAAGGGAACGGATGAATCCATTACCAGAAAGCGGTGGCAGATCGGAAGTCGAAGGTGGTGGCCATAAAGGCGACGAAGATGACGGCGGAAACGAACAGAGAGGCCGAGGAAGAGGCCGCCGATGGTTCCGGGCATGCCTTGAGGCTCCTTCATCGTCATCGGAAGTCAGTCTCCCGCTCCGGAGGTCTGTAGCGGCGGAACTGTCTCCATCGGGTGCACCGCCGGTCGGCTGATGCTCATCGTGCGGCTACAGAAGCTCCGACGAATTTCGGGGACACTGGCAGTGTCTCTCTCGGAAAGAGAGGCTTTTTCTTTTCTTGTTTTCGCACGGATATGATATGGAACACCTATATACATCTATGTGTGTGTATGTGAATTTTGAATTATTAAACTGAATTTAATCGCCGTTGAAATCTAGCTATTTTCAAAGCCCAAACCACATTCAAACCTTGCCAAACGGTCCAAAATTCGGATTAATCAATCAAGTATTTGCAAGTAAATTAATTTGATAAATCAATAGAAATTAGAAGCCTAAATTATACAAATTTGGATCCATGTATATTACTTAATGACTCCTTTTTCTTCTTTCTTTCTTTCTTTTTTGCATGCACGTCAAATTTGATTGTCTTTTTTTCTTAATCAAAAGTATAAAGAATCAAGACTCTAATCAATAATATATAATACTAATTACTAAATATTTAATTATATGTTAACACCACTGAACTAACAACGGATAGCATTTGCTAAAAGACGACCAAATATAAATTTTTTCTATAAATTGGAATATTAAATGTTCATACAAGTTACTCAATTTTTTTCATATAAGTTAAGTAATTAATATGAGATAAGCAATGAACCCAAAGAGTTAATTTTAAGTTACCCTAATAAGCAAAAAAAAAATATTCGGGAGTTGAAAACAGTGGTAATTTACACAAAAGAATTTCCCCATAGCAGTGGAAATTTTTACCCTCCCCTCCTAATCAAAAGCTTCGAGATTCAAACTGTCTTCTTCTTCTTCTTCCCGTTATATATATATATAGATATTATTCTTTATATATATAAATATATATATTAGATATTGAAATGTATTATCATTCTTCAGATGCGTAGCCAATCCGCTCCATCTCCCAACAAAGCTTAGAGGCAACTCTTTCATGGCAAGGCGAGTATTCCTGCAAACACACACATGCAGACAACGTATGAGATTCATTGTGTTTCTTATAAGAGTGTGTTATTATCAATGTATTATACAACGTATATACAGAGAAAATACGTATATATATTACAATAATACCCTTGTATTTCTTGAGATTCCAAGGTGAAGAACTCAGAAGACAGCTTTTCAAGAATCGATCTTTTTTTTGTTGTTGTTGAGAAGAGATTTCATTACATACATTCATTGTGTTTCTTGAGATTTCAACGTGAAGAATTCGGAAAACAGCTTTTCAAGAATCTACTCTTTATGTTTGCATTACCTCTAGTTTCTTGACGAGCTCCTTAGCTGTTGGTGCGGAAACGATGATCTGGCGAGCGTTTGTACTGACGAATCCTTCTTCCACCGCCTTATCGATGAACGAAAGCAAAGAGTTGTAGTATCCATCGACGTTGAGCAGACCCACCTGCAAAAATTTCGAAACTTCTGATGAATTATTTGGCCCATTTCTTGAACTTCTCCACCAAAGTCTGAATCTTTTTCTAAGATTGATTTCTGGGTTTTTACCGGTTTGTCGTGTATACCGAGCTGAGCCCAAGTTATGACCTCGAGCAGTTCTTCAAGAGTTCCATATCCTCCTGCAATTTTCACTCCAAATCATATTGCTGTGTCTCTAATCTTTCTTTCTTTCTTCAAGTTTAACCCTAAACTTGTTCCAAAGGAACAGACTTTGGTCTGTTTTCTACAATAGCAGAGATTCATATATGGGCAAAGCGACATTATGACAAAGAGATTTACCATCTGTTTTTTTACATAAATTTGGTTTGAAATGTGTCCAAAGAAGACCATATTAAAGAGAGGAGAAACCAGACAAGCTATGATGTTTGAATCTGGGGATGATATTAAAAGCAGGGACTTTGAAAAGGGTGAAGAACATGACTATCCATAATGGCTGCAGATTTTTGGAGGCAAAGATTACTTTTTTTGTGAGGGGGGGGTCTGTTTCAGGTTTTTGTCTTTTAACTAAAAACGGGTAAGGAAAAAACACCACAAAAGAGACAGAAGAGGTACCAAAAGTAAAAGATAAAGCTATGAAACAGAGTAAGAGGTGGTCTAATTTTCAGTGTGAGATGTTGATGGGTCAATGGCTAGGGCTCTCAAGAATGAGAGATAGCATAAATGTTTTTGGACTTTGTGGGGCTATTATGATTTTGAAATGTGTTCATGAGAGAGCCAAAAAGAATCAAAACAAAAATGATTTTTTTTTAATAAAAAAAGCTCCTTCACAGTACCTTTCACTCCAGAGATAGACCAAGAAACCTATTTTTTCCATTTTTGTCTCTCTTTCCCAAGATCAGTCAATGATTCACCCCTTTTCTAGTGCTCTTTCGTCAACCAAACACTATCTTGGAATCAATTTAAGAGGCTAAGACTAATGTTCTTGAGGTTCTGAGTTGTAAGGCTGTGTATGTAACCTGATTTTACCCCTTGAGAGTGTCATTAATTTGATTGGAATAAGAAAAAATAGAGGAAAGGACAAAGACAAGAAACAGAACATATAAGGTGACTGGGAAATTCTCTTGATTTGGGTATGAGTTCTTTTTCTTGGAAGATACTGAAATTGGAAGAAAGAGTGAATACTAACCAGGTAAGGCAATAAAAGCATCAGAGTGTTTAGCCATTTCTGCCTTCCTTTGATGCATATCTGCAACTGCTCTTACTTCCCCTACTGTTTCACCAGTCAACTGCAAAAGCACATCAACCCATTTAAAATTTTAAATCAACAATAAATAAAATATTGGAACTTTTAAAAAAAGGAAGCAGGTTTGGACTGTTCTACAGCCAAAGCAATGATGGCAATGCAAGTAATTGGCTGGTTTTGAATTCCGTATGGACTTTCCCCTCAGAACCCTAACAAGTAAGCTCCTCATCTTTTATCCAATTCTTTAACCATTTTTTTGTTGTTTGGTTTTTGTATCCATCCACAACCCCAATAGCATAAAAGAATGAAGATAAGGCGAAAAGGGAGACCTAATGAGAAAACTACTTGATCATCATGATTTTTTTAAGAAAGGAGATTAAAGAAGAAGATGAGTAAGATGAAAGCAAAGACAGAGACAAAAAAGGGTTTTTAATTTTCCAGCCAAAAGGATGGGGCTTGACTAGGGATTCGGAGAAAAAAGCAAGAGACAAAGAGAAACTAATAAACAAAGAACAGTGTTTATTATGGTTTATTAATGGAAAAAAAAAGTTCAAGGCTTTTTTTTTTCACATACCTCCCTAGGCATGAGTGTCTTGGGAATAACCCTGTAGATTAACAAGAAGACGACAAAAGAGGCTTATCAGATGTAATAAGAACATAGCCCAAATGCTGTTTTATTAGTAAACTCAATAACATTTTCTCTAAAAAAAGTTTATGAAATCTCTCAAGATCTGAATTTCCAAGAGAAGATGGAAGAAAAGATGAGTTTTTTACCCAATAACATGGCGACCACCATCATGAACAGCCTGTGAAACCAAACCCATTAATCCTATGCTTCCACCTCCATACACAAGATCAATGTTCCTTGAAACCTGCAAAAGTAAAATCCAAAAAGAACGACTAAAACTTCATGACAAATACAAGGAGAGTAATCAAACCAAAAACTTTATTTTGGGTACCAATCTATCAACGTGGATGGAGACAAACAAAACATTCTCATGCGGGCATGTGGGCTCTCAATCATATGGGTGAAATATGATATGCCCACCTGACCGGAAAAAATAAAAATCGAATCTTTGAGTCATAGAATAGCACAAATTCACACCCATTTGACAGAAATATCTAAAAAAATTTAAGGTTGTCATGTAAGAGAGATTTTTCCAAGCTCAAATCTCTTGCCGGAGAATAAGATTCTTAACAGTAAACATTAGAAAACAGAGGAAATCCCCTGTTTTTTTTTTGTTTTTCTAAAGGAATGGGCCGAAAAACTACCCAGAAACATATTCGCAAACATCTTGTGAACACAGTTTACAAACACATAAATAAATAAAAAAACACCTAAAATCACAGGGTTTTTCCCACCGTCATGAATCAAAAATGGCATTTTCTTCACAACCCAAGTTCATGAACACCAACACTTGCCTCCCCTAATCACCAAGAAACAACAATATAGCAAAAGCTGCCGACAAAAATGGAGCTATACATACACATAATAAACAACAAGTATATATACTCGTTTATGTGTGTATGTGTATATACCAGTTCTTTGCCGAGATCAACAGCAGCATCTTGGTAGCTCCTCTTCTTGCCTTGGCTACTCCCACAGAAAACACAAATTCTCCTGAACTTGGATTTTTGCATGGTTTCAGCCTCTACCTCCATTGATTCTGATTTCAAGAAAATTTTACGCAAAAAAAATGGTTTCTTTGAGCAAGGATGTTATTTTGGTGCTTCCTATGATCACAGAAAGGCAAGTACAAGTGTCAAAGAACCCAAAACTCAATTTTTTTTTCGGTTCTTTTTTTTTTTTTGGTGTCTTGACCACTAACACTCCCCGGTTGGGGCATTGTTGTTATATAGTGCGCCTTCTCGTCATGCTCCTTGAATTATCTTTTATTTTAAAATTATATGTTTTCATTAAATTATTTTATTTTATTTTAAATTTGTAATGTTCTTTCGCACGTGAGAGATTGTAGCACGCGCGTCGCCACCACCCACACATACAGCTCATGTTGGCACGCGTGGACCACTTCTTTGTGTTTCTCCTCTTTGCGTTTATAATTTAATTTAATTTCTCTATTTTTCTTTAAAAAAAATTAGTTTTATTTCCACTTTCTTATATAAAAATAAAGCTTATACAAATTGGGGGGAGAATTGTGTTCACCCAACATAAAAATATATGCTGAAAACTTTCGATAAAGCTCTTTTAACTTCGATGATTTTGGAAATAAATACTCAATTTGTCTTTATGTTCAATTTTTTTTATAAAGTAATTTTTGCTAACTAATACTATTCATTCGGAATTCCAACACAAATGCATTTAGATTGGTCATTGAATAATTTTATCAATGCATATTATGACATTTTAATGATTTATTTGTTTTTTTAGTTTGCTTCTGTATTTAATGATATGGTTCTTCGTTTTTAATACACAAAAGAAAATTTTATCCAAATTTTCAGGAATATAAATATGAAATGGCATCAGAAATATTTACCTGGATTGATATATAACTGAAAATTTTATTAATTTGTTAAGATTAACTTTTAATTTAGAAAAAAAAAACATAAAAGATTTACTCTTCCTAAGGTTAACTAGAATATACGTATATAATATATATGCATTTTAAGTAGATTCGTTGATTAATGTGTTCCTTTTTTGTATAAAGGAATATTTTATCTTTAATATAAATCATAAAGATAAAAAAAACAAAAATTACAAATAGAATACCTCTTATAAAAAAAACACACAAAGAAAAGAATATTAGATTAAATAAAATGGTGTGATTTAGAGATCATTTAAAAAGCTGTATCGCTTTTACCCTCCCTTTTTCTAGAATAAGACAAGAATTTCATTTTCAGATAAAATAAAACTAAATCAAAATTATTTAAAAAAATGAAAAAGGGACAATTTAATTTATGACCCTAAAATAAAGGGCACAATCTTGTACCTTGATATTATTGTAACTGTAGTTAATCTTTTCGATTTGTTTGGATTTTGATTTAACTATTTTTGGATTAACCTTTTGCTATAAAAAATATATTTATTTTGTTTTATATCTATTTTGAATACGCGTATATATTTTATTCGATTCGTTTTATTTTTGTTTTATATTACCAGATAAAAATATACATCCCAATTGCAACCCTTTTATTATTATAATGCCAAGAAAAGGAAAAAAAAACTAGAATAGCCTAACACAAACATACAAAATATAAAAATAATAAATCTGATCAAAGTTATGGGTATATGAAAGAACACAATTATATATATATATATATATATATATATATATATATATATAAAAATAAAAAAAGAACA